CATCTCCCTGCTTCTAAAAAGTAAGAACATCTACAGTTTACAGTACAAAAGTCATTGAATAAACTATCTTCTCTGAGGACCATTCCAAACAGTAGGAGTCACATTCCTTAACCGTATAGTTACAGACTTAAAGTCTGAGACTGGAGAATATTGTGCAACCTGTTTTTAAGCAAAACTACCCAATCTAGAAGAGAGAAGCAGAGGAAGATAATTAGCAAGGCTTAAAACAAATGGAAAACCAATTACACAACATGACTCCATGGAAAACTCCTATACTAATATTTATTCTCTCAGAGCTGGCATATATTTGCATTTGACTTCAAAGTTTATGGAAGCAATATTGATGTAATCCTGAGCCTTTGCACACAGAACCTGTGATTTTAACCGGATTGCAAACAGGCTCACAAGTTACCCTGCAGAGCACAATTTGGAACAAATAAAAGATGGAGAGAATGGCAAAATTTGCCACAATATATATATTTTTCCCCCCCACATACACATATACCTATAGAAGGATATTTTTAACTTATGAACTGTATGATTTTSAGTGCGGGCATTACCCTGCATATGTTTCCGAATTTACCTGCCAGTTTTGGAAGGTGGAACATCCCTTACCTCTTTTGTATTATTACTATTTTCCTCCTATAGCGAGCTCTGCACAGAGGCCTGTATAAATAYAGGCGTCCATCCAAGAACAAACATCTTAGGAGTTAAGGTGCAATTTACTGAATGGAATCACAAAAACATTTAAGGACAAGCTGTGAATGTAGCATTAAATACTTGTCTACAGAACCTCTATCAAATAATTAAATACTCCAAATCTGTTTAAACACCTACACAATTGTGTTTATTTATTTGACTAACTTCAGACCATCGCGATATATTCCAAAATAGAAGCGACTTCATGAAGTAAGGATCCTGCTTGTTAGCACCGCATTGAACTCACATTTCAGACAAGATATTATTAAATTAAGTATTATTAGAAGCCTGTGATGTTTCGCCTGGCACGATTTTATTCATTTGTTTACTGTGATTTCAACAACTTTGCTGAGAATGTCTTCTGAAATCAACAGTTCTGCTCTGGGACAGTTAAGCATTTTTCAGCATTTAACTATTCCTATTAACTGCAAGATTTTAAAGTCTTCCTCATACAGTATTTTATAGATTTCTGCTCTCAAAATGAGAAGTGTGTTTTTTAACATTGAGCACTTCATTCCTTCATTGAGCACACTGTTTTCCATAGATGGAAAATAAACATCATCTACTCCGAAAGACTGCAACGAAACGAGGAGAAACCTAAGCAGATAGGACCAAGAACTCTGAAGGCATGTTGAGGTACAGATAGCAAATTACTGCCATTAAATACTTTTACCAGTATATATTGACACATCKTGAGCTCAAACATAAGCATTTGGTGATCAAAGAGCAGATGTCCAAAAAACATCATAATAATCTTCATTACTGCCTCCGCGACACAYAAATATATCTTGGTTGAGGCTGCGCTCACAGCAGATAGAGCAGCAACCTTGCTAGGGGATCTTAACACGAGGGGTCACCCCCGGCTTGTGCAGCTCCCTACCAGCACCCCGGGGCGAACAGACCCCATCTGCCTCACAAGTACCTGCACAAAGGGAAAATAGGCAGGATGTCAGTTTCTCCCCAAATCAAAGACCTAACCTAATGAAAAGACTTCTCCTTTTCTTTTTTTAATCGCTTGCATATTGACTGCAAAACACCATCCACTAAAATGGCCCAGTTTTAGGTTTGCTTTGCATTCACGCAGCGCTGCTGTGCGACCACAGGGAGCAGGGCAGCGGGGAAGCTCCGGAGACGCTCTCAAATCCTGTTCTCGGTGCCATCTAAACAGASCAAACCAAAACCACTTGTGGTGAGGCTGTTTTGCAACTCCATGAGCAGACGTGGGGACTTTAGTAATAGCAGATGGAGTCTCCAAAGAAATCCAACAAAAAGAAAGCAACCTCAGAGCTCTACCKATTGCCCAGTTTTCCTCTACCCACACTTCCAAAATCAGGCAATCTAAGACTAAATCAAACCAACTCAGTCCGGTTGAAGAGATATCGGGAAAGAAACTGCTTTAGTGACTCAGACCTTTATCTATCTTAGGAAAATGAATAATGAAGATCTCATGTGGTTGATAATTTCTGCCCACAATTTCACAAAAGTCAAGAGGAAACACACAACCTACAATACCAAGCCACAATTTATTAAAACTGCAACTAAAATATTGGACAACTAACTACAACTGCTACCAAGTGAAAACAAGTCATTACTTTCCTCGTTATCAGCACCTCCGAAATACTAACACCTGCATGTTCTTCTCAAGGGACCCTGTTCACTTGCTCCACTTCACTCTGCTTTGCAATACGGGAACTCAGCTAGCAAGTTGCATTCCAGTTTATGGTCTGTATTTTTCCATGCTAAATTGAAAGCTGGCTGGAAACGGGAATCTTGCATTGTTGTGTTGATACCTGTGAAACTGTGAAAGGGTTTCAGCCTCAGGCCAAACCCCAGCCCAGCGTGATGCTCACCCCTTGGCCACGGTCATGTGTGGGAGCCCCAAAGGGAGAACCCAAAACCCTAAAAAAAAAGCTCTACAGAGGGGTCTCTGCAACCAGCTGCCTCCCTTGCACTCTGGCATAAGGGGGACATTCTCTTGTAGTGGTAAAAAGGCTCCRGATTCCCCACTTTCTCTTGGCTGTAGATGGGGGCAGCAGTTCTCCTCCCCACCAAATGCATCTGATCTGTTACATACGCAGGGTAAGGCTTTGCCCGGGGGGGTTTTAGCTCCCACTCACAGCTAATAAACACTCTACTTGGTTTGCAAATAACTCAGCGTTATTTCTTTGAACTTTGCCTGAACTAATAAACAAAAATACGGTTTACATATCACTATTTCTTGTATCTTTTATTGGTAGATAAAAACACCTGGGGTTACTACATATGAGCAGCGGAAAGACAAGAAAGCTCTGTTTTTGGCTTCCTGCACCAGGTGGTCTCTCCCCTTCCTCTTCCCAGGTCACACAGCCTCACACTGGTCACACCACCACCATGTTCCAGCAGGAAACGCACCCCTGGGAAGTGGGGACCACGCGGAGGCCGGTGGGACACAGATCCTGGATCCAAACCCAGGAATCTCCCCCGACTGCTCGGGCGCCCTTCCAGGGGCTGAGGAAAAGAGCCCCAGTCGCTCATTCCAAAAAGGAGACAGGACTATCAAGTTAACCACATTTGAAAGTCAATCTCTCCGAAAGGAATTARAATGAAAAAAGCAATGACAAAAAAAGAAGGAAGCTGCGGATGCCTTTAGAGAAAGGGGCAACGGGAAGGCCCAGTTCCACATTGGGATGAGGTGCCTGCTCATCCTGGGAGCAGGGACGCCTCACAGCAAAGGCTGCACAGGAAAAGGGAAAAGGAAAGCAGGGATGGAGGAGCTGAACTTGAGAGAGCCAGGAAAARGAAAACACGCTACAGTTGGCCGTTTTGATAGCGAGCTTTCCACATCTATATTTCTTCCTAGCACAGTAAAGGAGCTTAACAGGAATTACTAACACCTGTGACCCCAAACCATTACTTACAGCAGATTTCTCAAGGATTTCACTATCTTCGCTAGGCAAAAATCGACCAAACAGCCACCAGGCCAAAGAGCAGCTTCCCTTGCTTATCTTTAAGCGATCAATTCCAACCAATTCACTTACCCGGCAAGCACATACCAAAAAACAAGCGTTTTGGCAAACACACGTTTGGAAAGCGGCTTTCTAAGGAGCTGAAGAGCCAGAAACAAAAGTTAACCGAGACGCAGGAACGCTATTTAGAATACTTAAAAAAAAAAATACTTATAAAATTTACCAAAGAGAAAACCGAAAAAGGGGCAGGGGGTGACAGTGTTGAAGAATAAGGGCCTGTCTCCTCCGCGAGGGCCGCGCGCCCACGGGGGAGGCTGCTCCGGGCCGGGCCCGAACGGGCCCCGCGGGACGGCGGTCACGGCGCGGGGAAGGCGCCGGGAAACGGGCGCGCTCCGCCCCGCGACGTTACCCGTGCGGAAAAAGGGGAATCCGCTCCTCGCGTGCTTGCGGGTGGCAAGGGACAAAGGAAAAAAGGAAAGTAAGAGGAGGAGAAAGCGGGGCGGCACTGAAATAAGGGCAAATGGGGTTTTTCTGCGGGGGGCGGCTGCTCAAACGGAGTCCGGGCACCCGGCAAGGCGCCCCCGGTAGGGAGCGAGCGGCCCCGCTGCGCGCCCCCGGCGGCCGCCCCCGCCGCCCGGCGGCCCCAGGAGGAGGCGGCGGCACCAGGGCCGCCAAACTCCAGCCGCCGCCAGCAACAAGCGGCGCCGC